AACCTTAAGCCCTAAGCCCTCAAGCCCTAAACCGCCAGAGAGTGCCGTATGCTGGAGGCTCAGGCTTGCCTAAGGCAATGGGCCGAAGAATTGGAACCCACGGTTTAGGGTTTAGGGTTTAGGGTTGAGGGTTTAGGGTAGCATCGTAGGCTTCGGGGTTCGGGGCCCTTCTCACCTTCATCCGTCTGATTCTCAGATGTTCCAGAGCGATCAGAGGGAGCGAGTTGGAGATGAAAAGAGCACCTACGCTGCTCAACGCACATCCTCCTCGTTCATAAAGTTCCCTGAAGGTGACAAAGCTGTTCAGCCGTCACCCCAGGCCCAGGTAACGGGTCTTACCGAGACCGACGGCGAGAAGACAGACAGTCCTACAAGTTCCTCAGCTTCTACACCCGACCTAGCAAGCTTTGTAACAAGCTTCGATGATTTAGATGCAGCGTTGATGCGGGGGATTCCACTACGGCAGACGCTGCAGTGGGGTGCTCATCTTTGGCTTTCTGATCCACGATCCATGAGTGCTTGCAAGAAGGCCAAGCTTTGGGATGCTTCCAAGCCCACGAGGAGGTATGACAAGTTTCTATCGCACACGTGGGAAACCCGCGGCAGATGGAAACTGCTGTCACTTCTTCTCCATCTCGGCTGGCCTAGCATGATGATCTTTTGGGCTATCGGGGCTTTGCTTGGTTCCGTTCTTGTCGTACTCGAGGTGCTACCACTCTTCACTGTGTTTGAAGTGCCGCTTCCAGCTATATGGCCTGGCATACACTACATAAACGGCACTTCCATCCCATATGGTTGCTGGGCATTAGGCATAGAACGGAATATACTCCGTACTATAATATAATATGCTATAATTCTTAATGTATTTGTATATATGTGTAGATATTCATGTTTTCTGTTTGCTAGCTAGGTCAGCTAGGTGTCATCGGTCTCCTATGAAAGCAACGAACACTTGCTCCCAAAGACTTGGACCGCCGAGGTTGCTGGGTGATGCTGCTGTCCTTCAGTGGGGCCATTGTAGGGCTTCTTGTCTTCCCATACGTTCCGCACGTCGCTTCAGACATCAGTTTCTTGGATTTCGTCTGCGTTCACCAGACAGACAGCAGGAGGATGCAGCAGGGCATCAGGTCTATCGGAGCATTCCTTGCGTCAGCTTCAGAACTGCGCGTGCTTTGGAGCGCGCCTTACCTACAGAGGTTGTGGTGTGTTTTCGAGCTGGCCGCATATCGCAAGCTGACCCCAAATGGGAAGATAGTGATATCACGGATTATGACGGAGGTTGCAGTTCTTCTGACATTCATTTGGGCGCAGTTGGGCACTTTGGGATTCTGGCTTGCGCGCGAGGGTCCACACGGTGGCGAGCCCTGGCGGTTGCTGCTGGTGGTCGTTTGTGTGGGTTGGCCAGTCCTTGCTGCAATGGCGCTTGCGGCAGTGCAGAAGCAAGATGCCGACGAAAAGTTGAGGAGCCAGCTGACAAGCTTCGATGTGATGAATGCGAAATGCAGCAGCGAGTTCGATAGACAGTGCATCCATGATCTCATCATCGCGTGGTACGGCAGCCTGGATGCTTTCAACGATTACATACGAGGGCCTTTTTGCCTTGAAGTACTTCAGCTCAGACGTAGCCAACGCTGCATTGAAGGCCACTACCTCATCTTCTTGTTGCTGCCGAATACCAGTTACTTTCTGGAAGGGTCTTTGGCTTTCTCGATGTCCGAGGCGCCTGCTGAAACATCGATAAGCTACTTCCTTGCTGTGGTGTTGTGCTTGAACCTGATCTGGCTGCCATCTGTCGTCGTACTAGGAGCTTACCTCACCCAGCAGGGAATCCGACTGGGCAGACACAGAATCAAACCTTCCTTCTTGGAGCCACTCGTGATCTGTCTTCTGTGCATCATTCTTCTGGCAGTTGGGATCGGTGCCACAATTGCCGCCGTTTTCCGCGGCGTAGAGATGTCCATTCTGTGGAACATCGTGGGTCTAGTCTTTGCTGCAGTAATTTGGATGAAATGCTGGCGAGTTTAATCCGGGTGCACTTCACTGCTTTTGAATGCGGGCACTTGAAGTTGTTCACATGTGGAGGCGTTCGGTTTTGCACAGCCCACATCGTGGACGGGAACTGAGCCTTTCGTTCCGGTTCACTGGGCCAAACCCCCCCCGGCCCTCCTAATCTTCACTTGTTGCAGAGCTACACCCCAGACGGCCCCGAGAGCCCTGAAAGCCCTGAACCCCTAAGCTGCTTTTCAGGCCTGTAGCCCCAAAGTAGCCCTTGCCGCGATAACTTCCGCGACCTTGAATCGAACTGTTGTCTGATGAGCCGCGCATGCAGCTGGCAGCAGCAGTGGGCCATAGAACAGTAGCGGGAAACCTTGATCTGCAATCTGCAAGTCTCACGGGAAGGATCGCCTGTTGAAGTCGGGTTTAAATGTCAGTGACGGTCCGGCCAATCTGGCACGGCATCGCGCTTGTTGGAAGCGAATTTTCTTGGCGTGACCAGAATCGTTACGTGCCGCGACAGCTGGAGGGACCCTTCGAGCCTTTTGTGACCTCGCGATAAGCAGAGTCAAGGGGAGGAAACAGTCTGCGACCCAACAGGACGGAGGTTCTTCGTCAGTGTCTACTGTGAGCAACGTTTATTAGAGAGAGGGAATGAGAGAGACAGCTGGGCGGAGCTTGCACGTCGTCTTTGAATGAAGCTTGCTAAAAGCAGCTTACATGCGTGCCCTTCGTCCCCATGAGTGATTCCAAGCCTGAAGCGAGTAAGGGGCAAAGCACCCAGCCGCAGCAGGGCCCGATGCGTCCAGTTTCCCGCATAATAGGGCGACAGCTTATGCCTTCCAGTGCCGTCCCCGTGTAGTAGCTGTATAGTAGTATAGATGTAGTATATTGGCAGGAGCAGGGCGGAACCAGCATCGGAATCACTAGGATAATTCACTGTCGTTGCACTTCATCGATTGGTGTACTTTCTGTGCCAGCCAAAGGGACCGCGCTTCACGGCTCTTCTGGTCTTCGGTTTCAGACTACCTATAATCTCCATGGTAGTTATTTCTTGTTTTTGGGTTAAACTAAGTTAGGATCCTATACGGTAAGTAACCCCACAAAGGAAGTACAATGGAGACCCTAAGCCATACACCCTAGCCTCAGGTCCGTCCCTGTACCTTCACAGCTCCGAGCGCAAGAACAGAAGAAGCTGAAGTAACAAAGATGCCGAAATAGATACGTTAACGTTTTCCCCTGCTGTATTCCTTAAGGCTTCCGATGATATCTGTATTTGTCACCTTCTGTATTCCTTCGGAGCCTTTGGGTTTTTTGTGAAATTTCTACTCCAGAGGAGCCCAAAACTCTATTCTGATTATTAAGGTCCCTACATTACCAGGCACTCCCCATAGGTACCGAAGTGAAAGCATGGGTTTCAGGTTGTAGTGAAGTGGGGAAAAACGAAAAACCCAAGGTTGTTTTTGTTTTAAAACAGCCTTCCAAGCATGCAGATATCATCATCCAGAATAGAGGAGGTTGGAGCGCAACACAACGAAACCCGAACGCCAAGCCACTAAAACTCCGGACCCTGCAAGCTTCAGCCAGTTACGTGCCCTAGGCACCCTAGGAATTTCGTTGGGGTTTGGGACTTCAGGTATCGAATGGGTTCTGAAGCAACAACCAACAGCATGTCTACTTCGGGGTCTATGGGGTCTATAACGGGATTTCTGGGTTTAGGGTTTAGGGCGTATGGGGTCTAGATAGTGACTTCTGCAGGCTTTGTCGGGCTTCCTGCTGCAAGCTAGAAACTCTTGAAACCTCCATAAACCCTAAACCCCTAAACCCCTAAACCCTAAACCCTAACCCCTAAACCCCTAAACCCTAAACCCCTAAACCCTAAACCCCTAAACCCTAAACCTTAAAACCTAAACCCTAACTTGAAACCTCCAGTCTAGGAGCGAAGGCCGGCAAATTCTATAAGACATTGTGCTCTCGACAGCGCCAGACGGGATGCAAAACTTCGGAACGTTTGGGAAGCAGTCATAACTTCAAAACTCAGAACTCAAAAAGCATACTTCTTAACTCCAAATCCTCAACCCTAAAATCTCAAACCCTACCACCCCGAACACCTACAATCCGACCCTGAACTTGTAGATTTTCGCGGCCTTCTCCATTGCCTTCAACGTCTTCGTTTATCTTAACACTGCCGGGATCTTATGGGAACCTAGCTGGGGGCCCCCACCAGCTAGCCATGACCAGAAAGGATAATTAGTGGTGGATACTTCAACTTCTTTCTATATAATATTCCGTTATACCGCAATTCTTACTCTAAGCCCTAGACTCTCCAAGCCATCCGTAAACGTAAGGATTTTGTACAGTGTTTCACTAAGGTTGCTACCAAGGCTCATTAACGGGCTCCGTGATGTTTAAGGCTTTGGGGTTGCAGGTTTGGCTTGTGTTGCCCGCCCCTATACTAGCATGCAACCCCAACTAGCCTCCTCAGAAGGAAAGGTGGTCGTTGATGAGCACAGTTGGTCTGCGTTCCTTGTCGTTTGTGTTTCGGTTCAAAGAATCGATTACTGCCATTGTCCTTTGCTTTGTCAACATGCTCCAACTTCCAGCCTTGCACCACTCTGGCACTGCACTGTGCGTGTACATTCGTGTCCATGCCTTCGCGCGTCAGTGCATGCATGCAAACTCTTCTATATGTGCACAATCATTACAAGCCTATGCCTACCTACATACCTACATGTGGACGTGCGGATGTGCGTGTATGCATGCATGCATACATACGTACATACATCCATGCCTGCTTACGTTTTCAACATGAGTGTGTGTATGTGTACATACATATAAATAAACAAATGCCTAAACAAATAAACAAAAAGTCAATACAGCAACAAATACTGGAATATATTTTCATAGATATACACACACACATACATACATACATACATACACACATACATACATACATACATACATACATACATACATACATACATACACACATACATACACACACATACATACACACATACATACATACATACATACATACATACATACATACATACATACATACATACATACACACATACATACATATATGGTGCCCGCCCCATGTTCCCGCCCGTTTCCTGCATTGGCTCTTTTGGTTTGTGGGGACCGTACTATAGCACTTTGGCACTCCTAGAGTCGCGAAGCCATGAGAGGTCCCAATGTTTTGGGAAACCCTAAACCCTACATCCCCAAAACATTGGCACCTCGCGGCACTTTCGTGCCCAAAGAGTTCCTAAACCCTAAACCCTAAACCCTAAACCCTAAACCCTAAACAAACCATCTGGGCTCCCAATGCTTCAGGGGTCTGGGAGCCTCAAACCATGGCAGGTCCCAATAAAGCCAATACAACCAATGTTGGAGAGTCTCCGGGCCACACTGGGCAGCGCAGGCCCGGAGACTCCACGACCTTGGGTTCACCCATAGGCCGCGTGGTAGTTCCGTTTTGGGGTTCATAATATATAGAATCCTACAAGGTAACCCCAAAAACCGAACTCCTATGGGGCCTATGGGTTTATTGGTTTTGGCTGAGACCTTGCCGTGCTTTGGGCTCCTAGTAGGAGGGTTTAGGGTTTAGGGTTTAGTGCTCTTAGGGTTTAGGGTTTAGGGTTTAGGGTTTCGGTTTAGGGTTTAGGGTTTAGGGTTGGCTCCTAGACCCTTGGAACATTGAGGCCAGCCATGAGAGGTCCCAATGCTTTGGGCCCCCACATCCCCAAAATATTGTGACCTTTGACTGTGGCGTGTAGCATTTGCACATAGCACTGGTTCAGATACCGCAAAATTACTTCTGTAGTTATTTCAATCATACTTACTAAGCATTGAACCCCTATTGGTTGGAATACTCGTTTGGTAGTTGAGTAGTGATGAGTTGAGTAGTGATGGCTGCATGTTCGCAGGTATGTCGCTCATTGAAACTTCAATATTGTTTTTGTTTGTGTAGCGTGTCGTATTCAGGCGGTGCATCACTTTTTTGGGTTTGTACTTAAGTTAAGTCTTATGTAAATAAATGTTGTCTTGATGCCCCGTTGATGTTCTGTGCCGAGTTTCCCTGCTGCGTAGTATGAAGTAACACTTTAACAACGAGAAACCTGCAAGTATTCATTCTATACCCATCGAACATGTGATGTTTCACATACAACTTAAGCAATATTCCACCACTTGTATATATATATGTTTCATTTCCTTAGCAGAACGACACCAGAGCACACTTGAATCCATACTTCCGGCTTTGCTCAAGGTCGGGATCTACACCATGCGTGGAGCTTAGCTGACAAAGTTCTCTGTTTGGTGCTATAGGGCCTAGGCCTAAGAATTGGACTGGGAACATGGGTGCTGCCAACCCGCAAGCGCGCATTGCCTTCGCTCTGGACCTGATAGTTTGAATGCTGTTGAAACTTCTGGCCCTATGGTGGCCTTGGGTTGATGATTGATAGTGTTACGTTACTAGTGCTGCTACTGCTACTACTGCTACCACTATGATTATGATGAGGGCAACGAGTCCATACACATGCCGTCGATCCTTGCAGAATGCTCTTCATGATGCGCAACGGGCTCCTGCACACCGAGAAGGCAGCACCCGATGGCACTCTCGAGCAGCAGCTGGTGGTCCCGTGACCTGCAGGGATCGTGCTTGGGTCTATAGTCTTTAGTCTTCGTTGGTGTTTAACAGGTCGTAGGGTTCAAGGCTGAAGGTTCAGGGTTATGGGATACTCATCCAGTTTGGGTTTCAAGTCTTCGCGAGCTCTATCGAGTTTGGATATAGTTTGATACCAGTCTGTTCCAGGAGAGTAAGACCTGTCTGAACGAGTAACTGACAGCCCCTAACCCCACCGTCTAGGTTATGGGCATCTGGAAGGGAGCCGACATAGAAGGCGGGTCCCAAATCGGCATCGTGGGAATGCGGAATTGAGGGACGGTCCTGCCGTGTTGGCATTTAGAGGTACGACGCTGAACTGTTCAAGCAGCACCAGGACCTCCCGCCAGCAGAG